ATTTAACACGATGCGAGTTAGAAGCGGCTCCTTCCATATTCGCCTCGCAGACCCCCGCCCCAATCCAGATTAGCAACAAAGAAAGATCGGGTGGGGAAAGGAGGGTGATGAAAGTGTTGGGGTTGGGGGGGGGTTGTGCTTCTAAGCCCCTCTTCTCCTTTTGTCTGAAGACCCTCGTGTGGGCGCGCTCCGTGTGTTGTTGCAGATACACACACGCACATATTAAATGCAAATATTATACATTGTTATATGTGCCTGTTACGCAACCCCCACGCGCACCTACACAAATATATATATATATATTTATATATAGTATCTATAATCAATTAGATCCCTGATTCCTGCTCATCCAAAAGCAAATCGGGGTGTTGATTTTTTTTTTAAGGTTCAATTATAAACGATTTTGCACTAGAGAAGATGAGAGAGAGAGAGAGAGAGAGAGAGAGAGAGAGAGAAGCATTTGGAATAGTCACACTTGTCAAGTGAGACCATCTTTTAGCTCTCAGAAGCAGCAAATCCATGTGAACTCTGGGTGAACCAAGATTGAAGCAATAAATCATCGCTACAAAAGCCGGCTGCTGCATACGAGTTCCAGACCCCTTACCTTTAACGCTTTCACGGGCGAAGACTGAAAAGCAGAGCTACAAAAGTTCACATCTCTGCGCGTAGCCTAAACAAGGAGGGGGGAGGGGGAACTGTGCATCTAGGGGGCTAGGCGGGGAGGGAGGCTTTTTTTTAGGGGGGGTCGTTGTTGCAGAGTAGGGGTGGTATTGGCTTAATAGTAGCAGATTATGCTGCTTTGAGTGGTGGTTAGGAGCGGTGGGGTAAGGAGGGGAGGGCTCGGTGCTCGGAAGGGAGACGGGGACGTAATCGAACGTCATTCAACAAAGACAAGGGACGAGAAAGAATCGGATGGGGGATGCGGGGCGGGGGGAGGGAGGGAGGGAGAGAAGAGGCCGATTAAGGGAAAGGAAACCGGACAGCATACGTGAATCTGGGGGGAGGGGGGAAGATTGCACCATTTCCCCCCATTTTTTTATTTAAAAAAAAATGGAAATGGATGGATAAAATCTTGAGTGATCAATGGGCCCATTCATTTGGAGACGGTTCGCAGGGCATCAAGGCCGCCATCCTATGCGCTGGGAGCGAGCACGGCTGATTCCTGGAGGACTTCCTTCCGAGGAAACATGCCGGTGCAACACACACACACCCCGGAATTGTAGAACAGTTTCGTGGGGGGTTGAATCTATGTCCGGAGAAGAGCCTGGCGGTCTGCCTCAACTCACTGCCTCAACTCCCTTATATATCATATAGGCGATCTTGTGCATAAGTTCCCCACTCAAATAAATAAATAAATAAATCCCACACACACCAAGTGACTCCCCCGTTTGAAACTAAAGCACAGCTAGGAGATTTAGGGTGAGGGTGGTATGTGGGAGAGAAAAAGTTTCACGCACATGCAGGCGCGCGCACACACATCTCTATAGTTGACTAATCTATTATGACAAACAATATGATGGATATAGTTTATGTTAATCGCCATGCCCTTTCCTCTAGAATTTAACTGTAAGTTAATGGACACCGGAAACTAGAATTCTACATGGCTTGCTAATGGGTTTAGGTATTAGCAAGTTCTAACGATGCATACAAATGCACTTGTCTCTGTAGGCTGTCTTAAGATTTATGGCTCTTTTGCCTTCTGTAGCTGTAAACAAGGGGGGGGGGAGAGAAGAGAAAGAGAGAGAAAGGGGAAAGAAATCCCAGCCCCTGTGCAATTTAGCACCTCCAAGGAGCCGTTTCTTTCACTTTCTTCCTTTATTTAAAGAAATACCCCAGGTTGTGGGAGGGAGTTTTGACTCCGTCTGCAACTTTCCTTGCCCCCCCTCCCCACTAAAATGCTCGTCTGTTGGGCTTCATTATGTTCTTACGTTCCCCTTGCCCACGCTTCCATCAAGGGGGACAAGGCACTGAAACCCACTTAGAAAGCCATAATGGCCATAATAAAGACTCCGCTGCAAACGGGGTTTCGACTCCTACTCGACGGCGATGAAGGATGATTGTGGGTTCAGGTTCTACCGGGAGGGAGGGGAGGAGGGGGCCGGGGTGGGGGTGAGGAGCGGTTGTTAGAGAGGAAAGTTTCGGGGAGGATGGGAAGAAAAAGACCCCCCCCCCTTAAAACACATAACAACAACTACTGCAACAATAACAACAAGCCGACCCTGCAAACTCTAACAAAGGAACAACGAAGCTTTGCATCTCGTGGTGTTTGGGGTGGGGTGGTGGAGTTAAGAATGTAACTTTGTATGATTTAAAACGCCCCCCTCCCTTCCCGATTCATTTCTGTTGGATGTCTTCCACAGGACCCGAAACCACGGAGATCTCGCTTAGTTTGGCTGGGGAAGGAAGAGGAGGAGGAGAAGGAGGAAGAGAAGAAGAAGAACGCCGTATGTGTACCCAAAGGAAAAATATACTGGGGTGTCTCTGTCGAAAGGTAAAATGGCCATATACATAACGCAGTTATCTAGGTGACGGGAGAGATGCTTTGCTGAAGCCTTTTCCCCTAGCTTCAGTTTCGCGCCTGCGTCTTTTTCCAGGGTTGCAAGACGGTTGCCCAAGCCTGGTCGATCCGCTGGACAGAGGAACAAAATAAGGACGCATATATCGAAATTATTTCATTGATGAGTATATTGTTTTGTGGAATCCATTATTATTATCATTGTTGTTATTATTATTATTATTAGGATGGGCCCGGGGTGGGGAGAAGATCCAGGAAGGTCTAAAAGAAGAAGAAATTAGTAGGGAATTGATTGTGTTTGCTTGGAGACGGGTGGGAACCGCTTGCGAAGGTTTTCTCAGTCTTTGGGCGTGCTGTTGATAATCTAGCAACGGGGTGAAAACGTTCTCTCGGAAGCAGAACCCAAAGTTCGCAAGTTGATAAAAAAAAAGAAGGGGAATTAACCGGCCTCCTCCCTTCCGCAGGGTTTATTAGCCTTCCGCACTCACGCACCAACCATCTCCAGCAAATTTATATTTAGCCAGGCCTCTAATGTATGTTTCAGCGGCGAGAAAAACAATCAAATCCTTTTCATCGATGTGTAACTTCGCTTTAACTTGGATTTAAAACATCGTTTAGCCTCTGCTTACATTTAGAAGTGCGTGGGTTTGTTTTTTTAAAATCGCTGTTACATCCCATCCTCACTTCCAAATTAACTTATAGGGGGTTTTTTGAGAGGGAGGGCAGAGTTATGAGGCATTTGATCAAAGCGATTTACATCGACCGGACCGCTTGACGGTATTGCCAGGATCTTATCTGAGATCTGATCTTTAACAGGACCAATGCAATATTGTTTGCGTTCCCGTCCGGGGATTATTTCCTTATCATAATCGCTTATTGACAAGAAACGGAATTAGTTTTCATTTATGTTTAACACATTACTTTTTTAATTTTATTTTTTTAAAAGGGGGGTACGTAATGATTTCTAGAGATAGTGGGATTCATGTCAGAGGAGTTCATTTGCTAGCCAAAGTTATGTCTTTGTCACATAATGTATGCTAGATACTTGCATGAGTGCATCACGAATACAAGCTTTAAGATACTAAAGGGAAGGGAAGAAGCAGAGAAAGAAAGAGAGAGGGGGGAAAGAAAGAAAGAAAGAAAGAAAGAAAGAAAGAAAGAAAGAAAGAAAGAAAGAAAGAAGTCTAATTCTATGCATCTTTACTGGCAAGAAAGTCCCACTAAGTTCAGTGGAGCTTACTGACTCCCAAGTAAGAGACTTTGCTGCCTTCCTAGATATTTTCTTTTTCTTTAAAAAAAATTCTGTACTTCATCCTTCTTCCAAGTAACTAGTTACTCTTTTTTTAAGTTAAACTCGGGAGCCCAGGAACCTAACACGCTGGATTTCAAATAATGGCAAAAATTAAAATGCCCTTTGCAGCATACATTTATGTTAAAGAGAGGGGGTAGGCAGGCCCTCCCTCGTTTTTAAAAGCTGAGGGAGATGGTCGGTGTGGTTTTTGGATGAAATGCAAGATTATCAAAAACTGAAATGCCCTATTGGCTGAACTGCACCTGCTGATCGCAGGGATGCTGCCCGTTCTGGCGGTGCTCTGATCCAGAAAGGGACTGAAGCATCAATCGTGGAAGCCAAAGTCTCCTTTCCGAGTGTCCTAAAAGAAGGTCTAACTTCAACCTGACACACACACCCGTCCCGCGAATCCCCGGGCCCCAACGATGTATTTAACATTTACAAACTAAGAGGGCATCTTCAAGATCACTTAAAGCAGATTAAATGTGCCTGAGTGAGTCGGACCCTACGCACTCCCTGTGTAAAACCTTGTAAAATACCTCGCTGGGCCAGGACGATCCTAGGAAAAAAATTAAGTGGATCGTGCAAGAATGAAAGTCAGCCCACCTCAAACAGAACACTCTGGTTTGGGAGATCCATAAAATACACTTCGTGTTTACAGATTAACGGCGCGATCCTAGGCTTGCTTACTCCGAAGTAAATCCCGCTGTGTTCTCCTAACTTCCTTCCAGGAAAGTGGGCGTCGGACTGCAGTTGCTATCTATCTATCTATCTATCTATCTATCTATCTATCTATCTATCTATCATCTATCTATCTATCTATCCCAGAACAGAGTAAAAACAAACAATTATTGAACCAAAAATAAGAAAAAAAGGGGTCTGGGGCTAGGCTGGTTATTCCAGTCACTTGAAACGAGCCTGCATTGCTTGGCACGCTCGCTTTGAGAATAATAAAATATTTAAAACTCCAAGTCAACCTTTTTCCTATTTATTGCCGTGTATAATTCAACATTATCGCGTATTAATAAGCCAATAATGATAATCTCTATAGGAAAAGCATGCTAGCTGGGCCGCTTTTATGGCCGCCCTTATCCTTTCTAATGACCTTTGGCTCAGCAGAGTAATAACTCATTACGGAATGAGCAATTGTCTGGAGTGCCTTAAATACCTCGCGATCTCTCTCTCCCTCCCCCTCTACACGCCGGACACTTCCAAGAAGAGGTACTGTGTGTGAGAGTGTATGATGGAATCGTCTTCCCTGTCTTGAGACAGCTTGGAGGGAAAGGAAGAGGAGGAAGGGCCACAAAGAGAGTCTTCTTCAGTTCCCTGTGCAGCTGTGCCATAGAAGAAGCCAGAGGACTTCTTGGTGATAAAGGTGCTGTTCAGCTGGTTTTTCTGGATCTTGTCATTTTGTGCTCCCCTGTCTCTTTTGGCAACAGCAACTCCCAAGTAGCAGCACCCACTGTTGACAAATAAACAATTAAATAAATAAATGATGCTGCCATCATGGCAATGGCCTATGATCAAGCCTCAAAATGCCATCGTGAAGTGAGTCGCTATCCTGCAAACACACACCCATCTTCCCAGTGTATAAAATTCATATAGTAGGACAGGCCCATGTCCATGTGTGTAGAATTGTGACTCACTTCGCAATGGCGTTCTGAAGAGAGATGCGATAAAGACCACAGGCTGTTGCGATGAAGGTAGTAGTGGTGTCGGCAGTAGAGCAGAACAACAATACTACTCTAAGCAAAATACTCTCTCAGTCTCGCCTTCATCTTTATTATATTGTATCATATCTATATCTATATCTATATCTATATCTATATCTATATCTATATCTATATCTATAGCAGCAATGCTGGAATTTGAACCCGAGCTCATCCAGTCCAGTTGGAAGAGGCTGAGTCAGGCAAGGTAGCTATGCAGATGAAAGGGTTGGGTGGTGGTGCATGTGGAGATGGGATTTATTGTAAAGTTATAGGATGTACTTCATTGCCTTCACCTCATTTGTATAGGTGTAAAAAAACCCTGAACTTTTAAGGAAATTAAATCCAATTGCTTTGTAAGATATGTGCCTTTCTTTTCTTTTCTTTTAACTCCTTGCTGAAAGATGTTAGTTATTTTAAAATTGTTTCCAATTATATTAAAGACAAATTGAAAAGCATAACATAGTCTTAGTAGTGTTCTCTTCCCCCCGCCCATCCCTTTCAGGATTTCAGATCTCAATCCTATGTGTACACACCCAAAACAGAGAGAGAGAGAGAGACCTGAGCAAAGGCCTTATAGATTTGCCTTAAACGCTTTGAATGCAGACATGGTTTTCCTAGGGAAATCAAAGTGATTTGCTTAGGTGAGGCCATGAGTTTCCCCGCCTCTTTTTTTTTTGGAAAACATATATTTTGTATAAAAACAGTAAACAAAATAGCCCACCAACAACTGTACACATATGGCTAGAGTCCTCCCCAGATAATTTTATAGGAAGTCAAATACAAGTCACCTTGCTGTGACAGAAAATCATAAACATTTTTGAATATCTGATATGCATAGAAACCGATCTTGATTAAAAACCTATGCTATTCTCTCTAACCCAAATGAAAACAAATAGGAAAAACATGGGATTAATGTATGGCTAGGTGGCTATTGCCCCTCCTGGTATCCTGAACATCAGTGTCCCTCAGACTTGGTGACTAAAAGTATTGGGACTGAAAGTACTGGGTGCATGGACATTTAAGCTGTAAGTAATCACAATATGTAAGGCTGTAGAACATATTTACTGCTTACACAGTGCAGATGTTAAAACAGGTGCCTTAACATGCAATCCCCACACCTTATATTATTATTTTTAGTGCATGTGGAGTTAACTCTTTTGCTCCTGCAGTACTGGATAGGAATGGATAACAGATGCATAAACCCATGGAGTGAATAGTTAAATTGCCAGTTTATAAATAGTGGGTCAAAGGGTAGATAGAGTATCCTTCTCAGTGAACATGGGAAGTTTTGACTCCAGCACCTAAGAAAATTTGCCTCTGTGTCATTCCAGTGTTTTCATGCAGTACAGCATTAGTCCCAGAGAATGACCGAAACAGAAGATCACTGCACAGAATTCAGCTGGTGAAACTGACTAAGCTTTCAAGCATCACACCATACAATCCATCTTTGTTCAGAAATGAGAATCAGAAAGCAAAACGAAAATGAAGTCTTACGTCCATTTTTTAGACACCATCTAGGGTCCATAGTATTTTTTTTATTTTAAGGTGCAACATGGAATAACTTTTAAGTGTACATTTATAAAAAACAATGCTTGAATTCAGCATGTGTATGTCGAAGGTAAATCCATCAGGCATCTCTAATTCACTGGGGCTCTTTGGACTATATTTGGGGGCAAACTTGGGTTGCTGCTGTGTAAAGTGTGAAAGATCCCTGGGATGTAATTAAGATTCATGGAAAGCAATGCAAATATTGCCAGTGACTGGATGTTGCCAATGAACAAGAAGTTGGCAAAAGAATGCAAATATTTCAAGATGTTTCAGGAGAATAATGGCTTGCCCATAAGTAATGACAGTATTTCATTGACAGAGAATCTGATACACACACAATACATCTAACATCTATTTGCACAAGCAATCCGGCACAATGACTTTTCATCCAGCACCGCAGAGTGTGGCTGCACTGGCCTTGCCAGAAACTGAAACTCAGCCAGTGCTTTTGTGCTGCTCTCATTGTGGGCTGAGGAACAGTGAGCCAAACACAACCCAACTTGTGTGCGTGCTGATTCAGTTCTGTGAACTCAGCACACAGGACCAATAACTTTGTTATTTTCACAACTGAAGCAAAAGTTCAGAACGACATCCTTAAAGAAAAAAAGATTGACACATAGACATGAAGGCTGGAAGGAGGAATCTACTGGCCTAAAGCAACTACTTCATGCCTCATTTTGGTAAAGTCAAACCTGCTAACAACTGCAGAGACAGAAATGTAGGCGAGGATGGCCATTCTGGTGCATGGACTCTATAAGCTAGAGTGTCTTATTGGCTTCATAGCTCCTGCCAGTGATTGATGTATTCTGGTATGTGTGAGATTTCAACAACTATCAAGCCTCCCAAAGACATAGATCAGTAGTGTTAATGAAAGGAGGGCATACTTAAAATATACCACATGCAGAAGATGGTCGTTCAGCTGCTCTGAAATGTTCACAAAGCATAACCCACATCACAAACATCATCCCATTTCACCACCCGCTGAAGTGCTCATGCAGCCTGGTGCTGAGATCTCGCTGTTCATCCCACTGTTTTTCGAATTCAACAAGGTTGTAAATTCTATGCCAAGTTCATTACAAGTTTATTATCTTAGCTGTAGCCATAACAACAACATAATACAAGGAACAATGCACAAGATAAAGGGAGTGTACAAAAGCAGTATTGTACACATCCAGTTCACATGGCACCCTTTTGACAATGGATGACATTAAATTTTACTAATTCTTCCCTAGGGTTAGCCATCATATATACAAAAGTAGAAACATTATGTAGGTAGACAACTCTTAAGTATTACCCCAAAAATGCGTGTTTCAGGATGACTGACCCGTACTGAATCTTCTGCTTCATATCCAAGTGACCATCTACAGCTCCAGGTTTACTCATAAAGTACTTATATTAAATTATTCCTCATTGAGAAGGTCAGTTCTGTAGTTGAGTTCCCAGGCCAATCTTTTGAGTGATGTAAGCTCCCATCCCAGAGCCTCATCCTTTTTTTCCCCAGTCAAGGATCCAAGGATGCAAAGGAACGTCTTGGTAGAAGTGCTGCCCTTGTGATACACATGGCTGTTCCTACAACAAAATATGACCAATATCAAACATTATTTAGCCTCACCTGCGTAGCTGCTATTGGGACATTTTGTCAAATACTGTCACACATCCTAAGATTGGTAGAAGGGTGCATGCAAAAGATCACACTTTAAAAAATTAGATTCATTAATGCAGAATGATTCCACGTTGGGTTTCCACACTAATGGAGACTTACTCCATCCATAAACATTCAAAAAGCAGGGAGGAGAGAAACCACAACAACAATTATTTGGCAAAACAGAGCAAGAAAGTGAATTTGAGTGGGTTATAGGGTAGCAAACGCACACTAAGTGATTCTGAATGAGTCTCTTCTCTGAAACTATATGCTAAAAGTTCATATTTTAGTATCCTGACAGTCATTTTCACATATAGATAAACTATATACACCAATACACATATAACCTACATCTTTGACATCCTAGGCATTTAGAAAACACACTGTAGAAGCAGATGTGTAAAAACAACAGATCTGGTAATACATAACTGTATTGATCACATCCCGCCGAGGCTAGGAAATGTCAAGAACCAATTTCTAAGGATCAACATATTCTGTTCAACTGAAGTTACTTTTAATCAAAGGGCACTGAGGCCTTTTCGTATCACACCCATGGGGAAAATACCAGCGCCTGTTGGTTCAGCAGCTTAAAGAATTGCAGTGCCGGTAAATATTTTCTGAGGCCAATAAGCAAAACAAAGGATATCCAACACTGCCCAGGATCATGTGTAATCGAACACTTTGCAAGCACCAAGGCCAATGCAACTTTATACAGGGCACTGCTTGGTTAATACCAGCATGTTAATTTGCTAGCTTGCTATGGTCATACGTCAACCCTCTTCAAGAAACTATGGTGGCAGCATTGAAAAGTACAGGACAGGGAGCCCCTATTCATTCTGATTTATTGGTGACAAAACAAATTCATTAGGGCTCAATCATCAAAGAGCCTACATCTTAAAAAGCTGGCTAAGGTGTAGAGCTTTTAAAGGCCCACTCTGTCAAAGAGAAATGAAAGGAAATTGGCATGAAGAGAATCAGCTATTCACCCTGAGATGTGGGTTGTGTTTTCATTCTTTGCATGCTAATATCACAACTACTTGTGGCAGAATATAAAGAAAACAACAGCACTTCTGCATTGGGAAAGCTATTCTTTTGGGTGGCTTTCAACACAGTGGTTTTCCAAACAATAGACACAATTCAGGTCCTTTCAAATCTATGGGAGCTTTGGCTTCTGTGGAAGATGGGATTGTACCCAATATCACCACAAGTTTTCTACACCTGTCTTGCCTGAAATTTCCCATCAGGTGTATGGCAGTACTCAGTTGGATTGACACAGGAGGACCATGTGGATGTGTGGATGTGGGTGTGTGGGTGGGTGTACTTTGCCATATCTATAGGCTCTAAACCCCTAGAACAATAATGTAGAAAGGAGGTGTGGAATTTCAAAATAAAATGAAAATGAACTAACAAGTACCAAACATACTCTAGTCTCATATTTTGGATTGAAAGCAGCAATTTAATGGCTGGTACATAGAAAAACACATCATGGAGTATTGACCTTATTTTGATCCTGTTTGGTGCCATTGCTTCTCCTAGCTGCTGCCGCTGCATCAATAATATCCCTTCCCCCACCTAGTTACTGCTTCTTTCTTCTTAAACACAAGCATGATTCCAGCCAATGAGAGATCACACAGCGAGTTGGAAACCATTATGATCCTGCATAGTGACACCACCAAGGGCAAATAAAGTCCATTGAGAGAGTGGGAGGGACAATATAAATGAAATCACATTTGGTGGGGGGGATTTGTTTTATAATATTTCTACACCTCTTACCTTAAAAGAAATTTACAAAAGCAAAGTACATATTAAACCAATATCACAGACAAAGGTACAGTCAGTGCTTTTTTTCAGGGGGGGGGGGACACAGGGGTACGCATACCCCTAAACATTTTGTGAATCTAAGTTTGGCCTCATTGAGGGGCAGTATTTCAATATGAGTAGGAAAATGAGAGTCCCCCTAAACAGGTTTTTTTAGGGGGGGGAGCACTGAATACAGTGCTTATGACTTCATAAGCATCGCTGAAAATTCCTCAACAAAACTGAGGCATTTTTAAACATTGCTGAGTATGTTTCCAAAAAAATTAACCGTGAGTAGTTTGGCTCAGACCTAACATCATCGGGCCAAGTGGGAAGGGGAATTTTAGCACTTCCTGCTTCCCTAGATTCCTGATTATAGTGCAGATGCAGGCTAGAAACGTACTTCACTTCATCAAGAACAAATATTACAAATGGCTGACTAACCAACTTGCCACATGGACACTGCAGTAAATTCTATGTTCATTCCTAGGTAGAAGTTGTTCTCTTCCTTCGTGCACTGGATTTGAAAGATAATGGGTTTGATTCTATGGACTTCAGAGATCAGAACTCAGGTTCATCCTCCCCTGTTCCCAATTTGATGCCTTCTCTGTCTACTTACCCCTTCTGGAGCCTGGGTTGCTATGGGGGGGGGGGTCCTTCTATGAACCTTGATTTATGGATACGGACATACTAATTTTGGGTAGGTAACTGTGTTGATCTGACGCAGTTGAAATAAAAAAATAAAAAAATCTGTAGAAGTGTGCATGCACACAAAAACTTATTACAGAACAAACTTAGTTGGTCTATAAGGTGCTACTGGACAGTTTATTTGTTTTTGTGTGTTTATTTTATTTTTACATACTGTACTAATGTTATTCAAGTTCAGCCTTCCCATTTGCTGCTTTAATAAAACTACACACACCACTACAGAGGGTCGCTGACACAACCTCCTAAGTGCAGCCAATCATAAGCCACATCTGCACTCTTCACATAAAGCACTCTCATACAGCTTAAACAAGGCATGGCTTCCCCCAAAGAATCCTGGTAAATGTAGTTTTTTAAGGGTTCTGAGAGCTGTTAGGAGATTCCTATTCTCCTCCCAGAGCCCACAATTCCCAGAATTCCCTGGGAAGAGGGATTGATTGTTAAATTACTCTGGGGGTTGTAGTTCTGTGAGGGGAGTAAAAAAAAAGGTAAAGGTAAAGGACACCTGACAGTTAAGTCCAGTTGCAAATGACTCTGGGGTTGCAGCGCTCATCTCACTTTACAGGCTGAGAGAGCCGACGTTTGTCCGCAGACAGTTTTTCTGGATCACATGACCAGCATGACTAAGCCATTTCTGGGGAAACCAGAGCAGTGCACAGAAATACCGTTTATCTTTCTGCCGGAGCTGTACCTATTTATCTACTTGCACTGGTGTGCTTTCAAACTGCTAGGTGGGCAGGAGCTGGGACTGAGCAACTGGAGCTCACCCCGTCATGGGGATTCGAACCGCCGACCTTCCGATCGGCAAGCCCTAGGCTCAGTGGTTTAGACCACAGCGCCACCCGCATCCCTGTTGTGAGGGGAGTAGGGATCTCTTAATAACTTTTGGCACTCTAACTACTGTTCCCAGGATTCTTTGGAAGAGGCCATGGCTGTGGTATGATAGTGTTTGAAATGAATAATGTAGATAGGACTCTAGACCTGTAGGAATGTTTGATTTCTCACTCCTGATCTATCCTTAGTTTGCAGTGAAATGAATGATCTCACTAAAATCAGTAGGGCTAACCTGGGATAAATTTCCTAAAGATCACAGTATAACATCTTAGGGTGTGTTCCCCTTCTTTAAAAAATAAATAAATCCAATTTATTTATCTTATTTTGCCTTTTTCCTCCAAGGACCTTAGAACAGTTGACATGAGCTTACTCTATTTTATTCTGGCAGCAATCCAGTGTGGGGCAGGAAAGGCCACCAGTGAAACTTTCAGCTATACAGTGGTACCTTGGGTTACATACGCTTCAGGTTACAGACGCCGCTAACCCAGAAATAGTACCTCGGGTTAAGAACTTTGCTTCAGGATGAGAACAGAAATTGTGCTCCGGCAGCGCGGCGGCAGCGGGAGGCCCCATTAGCTAAAAGTGGTGCTTCAGGTTAAGAACAGTTTCAGGTTAAGAACGGACCTCCGGAATGAATTAAGTTCTTAACCTGAGATACCACTGTACAGTGAAGTGAAATTGGGTCCTAATTCAAGTACAACTATCTACTACACCAGTATTATTATTTTTTATCTTTTCAGATGTGGACTGTGTATACATTTCCATTTACTGTGCATCCATGCACTCCCACTGCTGGTTTGGCAAGTGCTGTACATATGACATTAGCCACAGTCCATTTCTTATGAAATACTGTGTTTTTGTCCCCCAACCAAATTGAGAAAAAGAATGACCTTGCTGCATTTTACATGGCAATGTGCACAACAGCCACAGATTCCACCTTCAGTGACAACCCAACAAAGAACCGGCTTCTAATTTCATCTGACTTGCTCCTTTCACTGAGAACATGGACATAACCCACACCATAGATCAAACCAAATTGGTTCCACAGATATTTTCCCCTTGCCATAGAAAGACAGAGATTGTAGTTCTGTATATACCATCCTTCAGAAGGTTTTTCCAAGTGGGGAAACCTTAGGCTTCTTCCGGTCAATCTGCACGACTGCTAGTGTGGTGCAAAACGTCTATAAGTTAACAGATGGGACCTGCAGAAAGCAGGTCCCATTTCTGTTCAGTGTTCCAGTCAGTCAGTCAAGCCTTCTTCCAGGAGATTCCATTCCACTAACACCACCTCCATTTTCAATTCCCCTGACAACAACCAACCAGAAAGTGTACTTAGCAGGGTTTTTTGGAGGAAAGGGTCCCCCTTAGATTTCTTATTAAAATGTTGTGTAGAGCTCCAAACCTTGGACTACCCTGAAGTCTGGTGATACCTCCCACCTGTGTCTCAATACTGTCATTTTGGCTACATGAAGATCCACACTCATATAATTGAGTTTACTATTACTATAAGAAGCTAATGCCGATTATTAATTGCATTTCCCAGTATATCTCACCTTTTCTCCAAAGAGCTCAAGGTGGTGCACACTCCTCATTGAATCTTGTGAGGTAGTGTAGGCTGAGAGGCAGTGTCTGGCTCAAGGTTACCCACTGAGCTTCATGACCAAGATTTGAACCCTAGTCTCCCATGTGCTAGTCTGACTCTCTAACCACTGCACCACACACTGGCTCACATAATGTGTATGTACAGGCATCTCAGACTTTAACTAGTTGAATAGTTGTGCCCCTTCCTTGTCTCAGGGAATCTTAGAACATGTATCTTCAACCGTTTCAGACCCAGGACCTACATTTAACCCTATTGTGCATTTGGGGATCCATTTCTTAATCTTCTACCATATATTCGCTCCTGCTGTAACCCAGTTTGGATCAGGCTATGACCCACTAGTGGGTCCCGACCCACCATTTGAAGATCAGTGCCCCAAAATTATAAGAAGGGATCTCTATGAGAAGCCTCCACAAACTACAATTTGATTCTTTGTGAGCAACTTATGTCACCAAACTACAATTCCCAGGATTGTGGGAAGTCAGGGCAACAGTTAAATTGCTATAAAATAGATAAATACAGTGCAAACAGGCCCTTAGTTTTTCCTTCTCCTCCTTCCTCTCCCTGACTCTCTCATTTTCTGAAAAAAGAACAGAAAAATGTGGTGTTGCTTTTGCGTCTGATTTATCCACCTAAACATGACCAAGCTGAGGTTCGTAACAGCCCACCAATTCAAGCTCAGTGCCATAATGATACTCTTTCTTTCTTTCTTTCTTTCTTTCTTTCTTTCTTTCCATTGTAGAAAGGGAGAGGGGCAGAGGAGATGAGCCCAATATCTGTTGCATGGCTTCTACATTCTTCCTGCCATAGACAGTATTCTTTTCCTTGCCTTTCCATTATATATTTTGAAGCATAAGATAAGTCTGCTGGGAGGGATGTCAAGTGCTTTAAAGTCATTTGCCAGGAAGTGGCTGCTACCATCATCTCCTTCTCCCCCCACCCCACCTCCACTCCCTCCTCCCACCTAATTATACTCCATCAGAGTTCTTCAACATGGGTGTTGAATTTAAGCACCTGCTTAAATTCAACCCCTTTTCAACAAAGCCCTCTTAATCACGTGCTTTAACTTTGATCAAGTGATTAAATGTCACAGAGACCAGTGGGACTTAAGCAGGTGCTCCTAATACTTTGATGACTTCAGATAGGATTACTTCCATCCTTGGATACTTAAGTACTTTTCCTGGACAGAAGCCAATGAGACTACTTGATCATGTGTTTGAGGCAATCACCTTGTAGTCATTTTTTAGTAGACTCCTACTGATTTCCCCACTCTAGACCCTATTCTTCCAGTCCCGCATTTCACCTTCTTAAACTCGTGGTCTCTTGAGGGATGGGTTTATCTGAATATGCATAGTAGATAAGAAACCAGGCCTACTTGCACAAGGAAGCTATTGCCTATTATTTATTTACTTACGATATTTCTGTCCTGCTCTTTGTCTTGCAAGATGATCCCAGAGTGAGTTATAATTGCTGGTAAAATACATAACCAACAATAAAAGATAGGTTGTTGGCATCCATCTTTCTCAAGAGAAAATGGAGTGTGAAGTCAAACTGCTATGTTAGCAGCACCAAACTGACTTTCCCTATATGGAGGCCCTGGGCTGCCCAGGCGACAAGATCCCCCTCTTGGCCTTGCTCAGGGGTCAGCAACCTTTTCCAGCCATGGGCCGGTCCACTGTCCCTCAGACCATGTGGTGGGCCGGACTATTTTTTTGGGGGGGGGATGAACGAATTCCTATGCCCCACAAATAACCCTGAGATGCATTTTAAATAAAAGCACACATCCTACTCATGTAAAAACACGCTGATTGCCGGACCGTCCGCAGGTCGGATTGAGAAAGTGATTAGGTTGCCTGACCCTGGCCTTGCTGATGTGGTCCAAAGGAAACCAGAACAATTTGTTTGGCACCAGCTTGGCTGCCAGAGTTGCCAGAAGGAGGCATACAAGATGCCATCTAACTGCCTTAGAGACTCCACTCCAGGTTTGTGCAGAATTTACTCCCTAGCCTTTTCTTCTCCCAGAGATACCCTGTAAGGCAGCAGCGGTTTAGGATCAGAGTTGTCCTTCTCCAAATGGGCTACCTTCCCAGGTTGACAAGCCCCATCTGCCCCTCACTTCCCTGTACAGCACGTGCAGAAACTGCCTTCTTGACTGTTAGACCCACAATTGGTCTCAACCGCTCACTCCACCAGAGCCTGTCTTGGCATGCAAGGAACGTCCCTAACTCACCAAGGGTTTGAGACCCGTCAGCTACCCTCACCTAGTTTAGCCAGCCAGTCAAAGCTGTTCCTGGGGTGTGGCCGCTGTCGCATGCTGACAGCTTCTAGGAGCCACAGGTGAGAGCTGAGTGCAGGGTGGGGACCAAAGATGGATCTACCTCAGAAGGAGGATGACATGTCCCTCACCAGAGGTCCTACCCCTCCTCTAACACCCCATAAACGTAAAGGATAAAGGGACCCCTGACCATTAGGTCCAGTCATGGCTGACTCTGGGGTTGCGGCGCTCATCTCGCTTTATTGGCCGAGAGATCCGGCGTACAGCTTCCGGGTCATGTGGCCAGCATGACTAAGCTGCTTCTGGTGAACCAGAGCAGTGCACGGAAATGCCATTTACCTTCCCACTGGAGCGGTACCTATTTATCTACTTGCACTTTGACATGCTTTCGAACTGCTAGGTTGGCAGGAGCTGGGACCGAGCAACGGGAGCTCACCCCGTCACAGGGATTCGAACTGCCGACCTTCTGATCGGCAAGTCTTGGCTCTGTGGTTGAACCCACAGCGCTACCCGCGTCCCTTAACACCCCATACACCCCCCAAAAAAGATAGGTAACAAGAAACAGTAGACATAAGCGGTCAACAGGTCACCCCAAGGCCTAGGTGAATAAATACATTTTTAATTGGTAATGAAAACTTAGAAGAGTTGGCACTACTCAGTTTTGTAAAGAGAGGTCATTACAGAGTTGGGTCTCCTGTATTGAGGATGGCCTTTCCTGCCTCACCGCATATCTAATTTCAGGATGATGTGGGACCATCAAAGGACATCCCTGTCAGATCTCAGAGTACGGGAAAGTCTGTAAGGGGGAAGACACTATTATAAGACACTTTCCTTCAGCAAACCTAACTGAAAGTTGTATTCCTCTGTCCCTGTGGGCCACGACCACACATTGCATGGCAACAAATGCAGGTTTGGCACCCAGGCGAAACCTGCAGCCGCTACCAGCTCCCTGTCAAGTGTGCTTGTATGATCCCTATTGCGCCCACACTTTACACATTTAGGAGTACACTTGAAGCATCTCAGATATTTCTTTTAATTGGCCCAATTAATTTCAATATTTCCCCCCCTTCTAATTCATATTAGTAGTGAGTGGGACTATCCACACACCCCTGACCATTCTTGCTAGACACCAGCAGGACTTGGCCAGGAAGGGGGAGAGGTCGCTAGTTGTTGCAAATCACAAGCCAAACAGTAAAGCTGCCCCCACCTCCTTTCCTGGACCACCCTTGAATGGGGTTCAAGAAGGAGAACCCCCCTTCGATATTTACCAAGTTTGCCCAGCCCTGAGTCACTTTACCGTGACGCAGACAGAAATTCAACAGGTAGGTGTCCAAACGATAAGGCACCCATTTAGCTTCCCCAAGCAAAGGCACAGAGTACAAAAGACAAAACGTCCATTTCCAAGTTTATTGAAAAAGCCACTCAAAAAGTTGCACATTTCTTAGAAGGTTACAAACAAAAAATAAAAACATTGTAAAATATAACTAGCTAAAACCATACTCACACAGCAACAATAGTTCAAAACACAGCGAGTAGTCAAGAGGCGAAATACCAGGGCAAGATGTTCTGCAATTTGCATCTGAATTCCCAAATCCTTTATCCTTGAAAACCCACGTGGAGGACAGGTTAGAGACCAATCATTTCTTTAGGTCAATTACCAATTTACCAATGGCTGTATGATGAGACTATATCTTCTGATTGTCAGGAGACCGGCACAGCTGAACTTTGTTTAGACTCAGAGACCATGAGATCAAAAGGCTGTTCCCTCTGTTCCCAGGCCTCTCTTTCATGTACCAGGCTCCCAAGTTGTATATTACTTGATAGCCTCCTGTACCTTTTTACAACCCAATCCATACTCAGACCCCCAGCTGCGCCAGGGTCTACAAATCAGATAACATCTCATCCTGCCTAGAGTCAAGATGTAATTGACTCACACCTCTAGAGACAGGGAGTTTTACGTTTAAAAAGACCAGATACCCATTCCCCAGAAGGCCACAGTTTTATCTCTCCCACAATGCCTCACTCCTGCGTGAACCAGCATTTGACATACAGTACCAAGATTTCCCAACTTCACTACACTCTCCCCTCTAAGATGAAATTACCGTAAAGGGTTAAGCCCCTAAATTTTATCAGTACTATTTACACAATTGAGGTAGTTCCAACCAATCTGGGGCATTTAGTACAGTCATACCTCGTTAAAGACGCTTCAGGTTGAGCATTTTCAGGTTGCGTTCCCTGGTGACCTGGAAGTAATGGAACAGGTTACTTCCGGGTTTCGCCGCTCGGGCATGCGCAGACGCTCAAAATGACATCACGCGCATGCTCAGAAACGGCGAGTCACGACGCACAGACGTGCAGACACGCAGATGTGGGTTGCGTTCTGCTCAGGATGCAAACGGGGCTCCGGAACGGATCCCGTTCGCATCCATAGGTACCACTGTACCTCTAAAATAGCAACTCACTCCACAGACAGGTACAAGCAGGACAGGGTGTCCGCGACTAGGTTCATTTTCCCAGGTATATGAGAAACTGTGAACTTGCAGGGTCAGACTCCATCTGAGTAACTTCTGGTTAGTGTGTTTCACTCTTTCTAACCAGCACAAAGGTGAATGGTCAGTTTGGACTTGAAAATTATTCCCCCACAAGTTAGGGGTGGAGTTTGACCGAAGCCCAAACCAAAGCAAGACATTCTTTTTCGACAGTGGAATAATTCTGCTCACGTGGTAGCAACTTTTTGCTCAAATACACAACTGGACACCAGGTTCTTTCCTCATCTTGCTGAAGCTGTACACCCCCTAATCCTGTTTGGCCAGCGTCTGTCTGTACTACAAAGGGTTGGGCGCAAGCATCACCGTTGAGCTCACTAATGACTCTTTTAACGTTTCAAAAGCACGCTGACACTCCTCAGTCCAGGTCACCTTATCAGGCAGAGATTTCTTACACAAATTCGTCAAAGGGGTGGCAAGGGTTGCAAAATGGTTAATAAACCTTCGATAATAATTCACTAGCCCAATAAAGGACTGCACATCCCCTTTTGTCTGAGGGTGAGGCCATTTCTGTACACGCTGGACCTTGGCCTCCAGGGATTTGATATTTCCAGACCCCACCCTAAACCCCAAATAAATCACCTCTCCTTGAGCAAACTGACACTTGGAGATCTTCACCGTCAGGTTGGCTTCCTGTAGCCGTGACAAAACACTCTGCACATGCCTAAGATGCTCCCCCCCCAGGAATTAGAAAAGATAGCCAGATCATCTAAGTAGGCACAACAAAAATCGCTCACATCATGTATCAGAGAATTAATCAGTCGCTGGAATGTCACGGGCGCATTGCGCAATCCAAAAGGTAACACCTTAAATTGATCTAGACCCACATGGGTAACGAAGGCAGATTTTTCTGACGCCTCAGAGGACAAAGGAATTTGCCAAAATCCTTTGGTCAAATCCAGCACCGTGATGAACTTTGCTCTCCCTAGCTTTTCAATCAGGGTGTCAATTCTGGGCAAGGGACAAACATCAGGGAGGGTCACAGAATTAATATGCCAATAATCCACACAAAAACGAATGGTGGAATAAGCCTTAGGGACCAAAACAATGGGAGAGGCCCAGGCACTCTTACTGGGCTCTATAACTCCCAAATCAAGCATTTCCCACAATTCAGCCTCGATGCTTCGGGCATGAGCTTCACTGACCCTATAAGGCCATGATGGAATAGGTGCAGCTTCACCATTGTTAAAATGGTGCTGCATCAAATGAGTCCTCCCTGGTTTAGTACTGAAAGTACGGTCAAAAGACTGTAGAACATCAAAGAGCCCCCTAGCCTGTTGTTCGTACAAGGTAGGGAAGCGTAACACATCCGAGATACAGTGGACGCTCGGGTTGCGAACGTGATCCGTGCGGGATGCACATTCGCAACCTGCAGCATTCGCAACCTGCATCTGCGCATGCGCAGGTTGTGATTCGATGCTTCTGCACATGCGCAAAGCCATTTAGCTCTTCTGCGCATGCGTGACTGCCGAAACCTGGAAGTAATCTGTTCCAGTACTTCCAGGCTTCAGCAGTCCGCAACCCCAAAAGCGGCAACCTGAAGCGGCTGTAACCCAAGGTATGATTGTACTTCCAGCCTGTTTTTATTCCTCCAAGAGGTCTTTAGGGGCTGTAGGCACCTCCTCTCGACCTCCAGAGATGGACAACACAGAAAGCTCAGATTCAAGGTACCTTTTCAAAGAATTGGCATGATATTCTCTTGATCCATCATGCAGCTCCTGGCATTCCACCAGATAGCGCACAGAGCTCAACTTGGCCTTCACTATCCCAGGCCCATGCCATTTGACTACCAGTTTGTGGGGTCGGGTGGGTTTCCACACTAAAACCTGATCTCCCACTTCAAAACTTTTTGCCACCGCCTTCAGATCATAACAACGTTTCTGTTCCAACCGAGCGCCCTCCAAATTCTCCTTGGCAAGTTGCCAGATGTCAGACAACGTCTGCCTCAGGTTAGCAAAATACTCAGACACAGAAGGTACCTTAATCTCCTCCTCCGACCCCTCCCACTCCCTCCGGAGCATGGACAGAGGAGTATTCAAGAGTCGACCAAAAATCAATTGGTTGGACGCAAACCCTAGACTCCTTTGATAAGCATCATTGTAAGCAGACACAACTAAAGGCAGATCTTGATCCCAGCTAGACCCATGGGCCAGGCCACACTTCCGCAACATCTGCACAAGAGTTTTCTGAACTCTTTTTATAAGCCCATTTCCCTGGTGCTGATATGCAATACTAGTGTGATGGTGGACCTTTGCCAGCTGCAAAACCTTCTGAGTTAGCTCAGCCAATACATTGGTTCCCAGGTCACTCACTAGAACCTTAGGTATCCCCAAAGAACCAAAGGCCAAAACCAAAGCTTTCGCAAGATTTTGGGCAGAAGTATTGGGCAAGCTTGTAGCCCAAACATATCTAGAGGCATAATCAATTATTACACAAACATACTGCTTCCCAGCACGGGTTTTCTGCAGGGGGCCCACCAAGTCTATTCCCCATTTTTCCAAAACATTTGATTCAAGAGGTACACTCTGTAAGGTATTAGGCATGCTGTCTTTATCATTCCCTATTTTTTGACACACAACACAAGAGCGTACAAAGTTATTTACACTTTGGTGCACATCAGGCCAGTAAAAGTACCGGCTGATGCGTTCCAGGGTCTTCTGTACCCCCAAGTGGCCTGCCAGACCATCATGATGGGCTAAGTCCAGTATCTTAGGTTGCCTTGACCCAGGAACCACCAGCTGCAAAACAACGTCTTTGTCTTTGATCTTCTTTGGCCAGAACTGTCTGTACAAGAGCCCCTTTTCATGCAAGAAGTGGACTTGCCTCTTTCCTTGGGGAGGACTCTCCACAGCATCCCAGCAAGCTTGCAAGGAGGGATCAGATATCTGCTCAGCTTCAAACAATCACAAATCCCTCAACGCAGCGGAAGACCCAAGATCTTCCGAAACAGCAGGGATACTTTTCCATGGTTCCTTGGGCTGAAAGGCAGACCTCCCTTTCGATCCCAGAGCCTTCAGTCGATTCCCAACCGGCTGGCTTTTGTTTCCCAGATGAGACCTGTTGAGCCTAAAAGTCTCAGCAAACTGTACGGCTTGCTCAATAGTAGCAGGGCTTTGGTCCGCAACCAAGCTTGCCAATTCCGCAGGCAAAAGGCGGTTAAACTGTTCTTTGAGCATCAATTGTTTCAACCCTTCAAAGGTAGTTACATCCGCTGCAGACATCCACAATTCAAAATTCTGTGCCATTTTAGCAGCAACGAGGGTCAGGCTTTCAGCTGAGGCAGCTTTATCAACCTTTCGGAAAGCCTGCCTATAGCTCTCAGCCCTCTGACCATATCTTTGCAAAGCAAGGTGCTTATAATGTTCATAGTCCATAGCATATGATAAGGATACCTGTCCCATTAAATCAGCCAGTTCTCCACTGACTAGGGCTCTCAGAATGATCATATACAATCTTGGGGGAACTCCCAATTCTCGACAACTCAGTTCAAACAATGTAAAATAATACAAAACGTCCATGGGAGGTTTATAAGCAGGGAAGAGGCGAAAATCCAAATCCCATATGCTAAACTCACGAGTCGCGCATCTCAGGCCCACATCTCGCAGCTCCTGGTCATGGCTGTACCTCGGGGCGGGGTGATAACTCGGTGCTTGTCCCTCCAGAAGCTGAGGTTCCTTCTCCCCATTCAAGCAAGAGGGTCCGGAGCGTGGCCCATAGTCCTCCTCCTCTTCGTACTGTTGAGCTGACATCCTAGGCTCCCAATAGCCTTCTGACAAGCAGACTCTCGTTGGACTAGCCGCTCGATAAGTAACAGGTCCACGATTCTCCTGGGGTTGAAGCTCTGGCTCTTGGTAGTCACCCGCAGCCACTGCACGGACCTCCCTTGGGCGTCTCAGCAGCTCCCTGTAATCAGGGATAATATATCTGGTTTATAAGAAGAATGAAGTTGGGCTGATGTGTTAGAAAGCCTTCTAAATAGTATGTGTTCACTGTAAAACTTGTAAGCAGATCTCTGCATACATGACTGGGGTCTCTTGCTGCCTGCATAGCACAACTGTAGCACTTTCACAGTGTATGCCTCTTCCTAGAATCACAGATTTTTAGAGTTGGAAGGGAACCCAAGAGTCATCTTGTTCAACCCCCTGCAATGCAGGATACGTTTGCCCAATGTGGGGCAAGAACCAATGATCCTGAGATTAAGAGTCTCATGCTCTACCCACTGAGCTAGAAACAGATGCAGTAGTATGACTGCACTGGAAAAGGATACTTTGTACTGTACAGCTAATTTTCCCAATATGCAGTGACTAAGAGGGACCCAGTGAAAATGAAATCAGGCTAAATCTGCGGAGATTCCCTCTTCTGTTATAACTAATAGTGGTTTCCTTGATTTTATCGGGCCACCCTAGCAGTGAGTAACCGTGTCACCCTCTGGGGAAGGCTCGGTGTGGTTTGTTGTGGTCATACAACTGATTGTGAAATGTAGTGGGTCTTTGTTCATGGAGTTTTCTTGGCAGGGATACTGGAGTGGCTTGCCAGTTCCTGCTCCAGGTGGATCACGTTTAGTCAAAACTCTCCACTATGACCTGTCCATCTTGGGTGGCCCTGCACAGCATAGCTCATAGTTTCTCTGAGTTATTCAAGCCCCTTCACCATGACAAGGCAGTGATCTATGAAGGAGATGTATGTATGTAGTGATGTATTGAAGTGAGAGCTGGACCATCAAGAAAGCTGATCACCGAAGAATTGATGCTTTTGAATTATGGTGCTGGAGGAGACGCCTGAGAGTCCCATGGACTGCAAGAAGATCAAGCCTATCCATTCTTAAGGAAATCAGCCCTGGGTGCTCACTGGAAGGACAGATCCTGAAGCTGAGGCTCCAATACTTTGGCCACCTCATGAGAAGAGAAGACTCCCTGGAAAAGATCCTGACGTTGGGAAAGATTGAGGGCACAAGGAGAAGGGAACGACAGAGGACGAGATGGTTGGACAGTGTTCTTGAAGCTACCAACATGAGTTTGACCAAACTGCACAAGGCAGTGGAAGACAGGAGTGCCTGGTGTGCTCTGGTCCATGGGGTCACGAAGAGTTGGACACGACTAAACGACTAAACAACAACAACAATGTAGTGGATAGAGAAAGTGACAGGGAGGGCTGCATTCAAATAATTGCTCTACTATGAAGGTCACTGGTTAGCTGTGTGGCAGCCACTGTCTCTCAACCTGTGCATGGCACAGGATAAAGTGGGAGTAACCCCATATATTCTACACTGAGTGACTTTGAGGAAGGTACATAACATACAAATGCAGTTCATCTATCCAATGCCACTCTAAAAGGAACAGCCAGGTAACTGCAAAATAAAATCATGTGATAGGATGGTAGGTTTTATGAATCCCCTTCAATCTAAATGATAATCAGGTAGTGTGATCTTTTTGAATACAGTGGTACCTCGGGTTAAGTACTTAATTCATTCCAGAGGTCCGTTCTTAACCTGAAACTGTTCTTAACCTGAAGCACCACTTTAGCTAATGGGGCCTCCTGCTGCCACCGCGCCGCCAGAGCACGATTTCTGTTCTCAGCCTGAAGCAAAGTTCTTAACCCGAGGTACTATTTCTGGGTGGAGTCTGTAACCTGAAGCGTATGTAACCCGAGGTACCACTGTACAGCCATGCATTAGCCCTTTTGAAAACATTCCTTTAATCCAACAGAGAAAGGTAAAGATGCATTGTCAGGAGAGCAGGGCCAGGCAGGTTCAAATAAGAAAGCAAGCACAAATAGATGGCAGTAAAATGATGCAACCATTTGGTTGATAGTGTTCAAGGGGAGGGGAGATCTCCTCTCACATCACTCAAGGCAAGCCATACTAGTTTAAAAATGAGAGGAAGAAAAAGAGAGAGAGAGAGAGAGAGAGAATGCATTATATTCCAACTAATGACCTTGATCTGTGAGTAATAACTATAGGCCATTGAATGGTTTATGTCCTATCTCAGAGGTCAGCCTAAGAAATTTCAGTGGTCCATTCTGCCCTTCGTATTTCTGATTGTGTGAACAAGCCTTACAGCATTTTAAACTCTCAAGAGGTGCAGCAGCTCTTTTTCAAAGCAATAGCGTCAAAATGGCTTTGAAATAGAAAATTTGCACATCTGTTGGGAGATGATACCCAGATGCAAATTCTGAACTTCAGCCAAGAAAAAAAAACACCATACAAAGAAGAGCCATAGTCTTTAGTGCTCTGGAAGTGTGCAGAGTTTTAGTTCTGGGTTCACAGATGTCATCATCATTGTTTGGGTTGTTTTAATCATTTGCAGGAAGAAAATGGATATCACCCCAGTCACCCAGCTTATACATCACTGCACTATACATAATAATGCTTGTTTAACTCATTAGAGCAGGGATGGGATGGGGAAGCTGCAGCTCTCCAGATGTTCCCACCATCCATGAACATTGACCATAGTAGCTGGGACTGCTGGAATAGGAGCTCAACAATATTTGGAGAGGTGCTTGCTTTGGCAGCACATATACTAAAACTGGAATGATACAGAGAAGATTCGCATGGCCCTTGTGTAAGGATGACACGCAAATTCATGAGGCGTTCCATTTTAAATAAATAAATAAATATTTGGAGAGCTACAGATTCAACACCCCTTATTTAGGGAGTGTTCAGAAGTCTTCAGCGATTCTCATAACAGGGATGTGGGACCTCAGACCCAGGGGCCAAATGTGCACCCAGAGTTCTCTATGTGGCCCTCAGGATTCTACCATGTCCCACCCCCTCACTGGCCCACAAGGGAATCTGACCATCTGGCTGAAAAATTCCCCCACCCATCCCTGCCTTAACATTAGATTGAACATTAGAAAAAACCTACTGATAGTTAGAGCATCTTGACAATGGAAGCAATTACCAGAGGGAGGGAAGGGGTGTTCTTCTAGTGAAGGCTGGATAGCTATCTGTTGAGGATGCCCTGGCTCTGGATTTCCTGCATAAATCAGGAGGTTGGACTAGATGGCCCTACACGACCCATTCCAACAATATGATTCTGCCCCTATTAGGAGTTGCTGGTATTAACCCTGCAGCACATATTGGAGGGGGGGCAGGGAGAGAGAGTGGATTGTCTAGAAGGCTGCCTTGGAAGCAGGGACTTCCTGGTTCATGTCACAATTCCATGCATGTCTATCCAAAAGTAAGTTCCAGCTAAGTGTACCCAGGATTGCTGCCTCAAGGAGCAATCTTCCTTACATCATGCACATTTGGAAAGGACAGAGCTCAGTGGGCAGAGCATCTGCTTAGCATTCAGAAGGTCTTGGGTTCAACTCCTGGAATCTCCAAGTGGGACTGGGGGAGAACTGCGCCTGAAACCCCAGAGAGCTGCTGACAGTCTGTGTGGACAGTACTGACCCCGATGGACCAGTGGCCTGAGCCAGTGGAAGGCAGATTCTTCTGTTTGTATGTAGATGGTGTGTAGCTGCCTCTCTGCCAGCCTCCATCAGCAAAGAGGAGCACCTCCATCTGGCAGCAGTGGCTCTGTAATGGTAGAGGCGCCACCTTCACCAAGATATTCTGGTAACAGGATATTCTGGGGCAGGGGGCTAGTGTGTTTGGACCCAAAGACCACGGATCCCTTCAACAGTCTAATCCTTGAACGCTCAGCTACACCTTCAACCTGGAACTGGCATAGCAAAAGGAAAGGGGGGTGGAGTGGAAAACCCACCTTCCACAACACACACACAAAGTGTGTTTCATTCTAATTTCATTCTAATGCATATAGATTCATCACAGATAATAACACACTGATAGATAAGAACATTTTAAAAGCTTGCCAGATCAGATGGTGAACATCCATCTAGTTCCGCATTCCCTTTCCAGACCAACCAAATAACTCTGGAAGCTCACAAGGAGGGCATGAAGGTGGTGCCCATTCTCTGATGTGTATTTCAGCATCACGTATTCAAAGATGTATATTGTCTGTATCCACTGAGGTTCTGTCTAGGTATCATGGCCAATGGCAATTGATACCCACCCTCTATGAACAAGTCTCACCTTCCTTTAAAGCAGGGATTGGGAACCTGTTGGCTGTGGCTCCTATCAGCCCTGACCACTGGCCATGCTGGCTGTGGCTGATGAGGGCTAGGGTCCAACAACATCAGGAGGGCCACAGGTTCCACACCGCTGACCCAAGTCATACCTTAAGGACACCTAGCTAACATCATGAAAATTGAAGGTTTCCAAGGCAGCTCAGAAATATTGACCCCCAAACACAAGTTTTCCCAAAGAAATTCCTGTTTCTGTAGTTTAACCTCTTAGTCAACCCCCCTCCCCCGCCGCCCATATCTTAACAGACAAGGGGAAACAATTGCATTCTCTCCCACTACCTTATTTCTGAGATCATTTCCCCACTTTTCTCTAGGCCAGATGTTGTTGAGCCAGGCTCCTTAGAAGCTTATCCAAACTTCATCAATGAGAAGTTCAAAACTAATGACAACCGGATAACTTGTACACCACACTGATCCTTCCATGTAGAACAAAATTATAGGGAAATGTCAGGCAGATATGGTGGCCATCTTTGCATTGCCAAAAGGGAGGACATGAATTTGCACAAATTTTGCATTTACTAATATGTGGGGTGTATAGTGTGTGTGTGTGTGTGTGTGTGTGTGTGTGTGTGTGTGTGCTGAGAGAGAGAGAGAGAGAGAGAGAGAGGTTTAAATTTAGAAACAATTACTGCAATTGAAATAGAACTATGACATATCTCACCATAATGGGGAATATTGACCAGGTAACCTGTGTTATCCAGGTGCTAATTGCTGGTGGGTAACTTCAAAGCCCCCTCTCCCTTCTTATTGTTCTTTAACTTTAAAACAGACTCAGACTGGACAGCCCTTCAAAGAGAGGACTCCTTCAAAGAGAAGGCTATAAAGGAGGCCACATGGCCACCCTATGGGCAGGGCAAGTCCTTGGGTGTCAGATTTTCTGGGGCAATTTGAGAATAAGAATTTGAAGATGTGCTCCAAACTGCAAGCCAGAATCTTTTTCAAGATACAGTGATTCTATGGCGGACATGCAGAGGTTTCACATGGAGACAATTGTGTGTAGCAGCAGTTCTATGATGTCAAGGATTTAGGCTCAAAAAATGCATTTCTTCCTTGGAGCAAACTTCATTGAAAACAATGAGACTTATATCTGGGTAGACAATTATAGTACTGTACAGTATTGCTAGTTTTAAAAATGACTGATCTCAGTTATGCTCACCCTAATCACTGAGCTTCTCCATAGTTCTGATTGTAAACTCTGAGATAAAGACTTGTCTCCTGCTTAGCTCACCACACATACAGATAATACTCTTGCTATTTAATCAACAGTAGCAATAACACAATCATCTCTGCACTGACTTCCTTGGGAGGCACTCATAATCTGATTTGAGGAGCATGGTTGACCCTATCCTGAACCATACTCTGTCAGCCTTTCCCACCATACCACCATCCATAATCCATCAGCCCCAGTCATCATGGCCAAGAGTCAGGAACTACAGTTGAAAACATAGCAGTCATCTCACTTGAGGGCCACAAGTTCCCTAATAGTAAACCCCTTGCTTCTGTTGTCAATAAGCACAATGCTAGATCTCACTGAGTCTCTCACTCCATAAGGAACATTGTGTACACCCAGGATTATTGTGCATCTGTAAACAATCCTCAGTTGTACCTTTACACTTAAAACACATTTACGAATGGTGGGTGAAGAGCTTCTGTGCGTGAAGCACAAATTTAGCAGGTGAAATATTTTCATCTCACTGCATATCCACTGCTGGGGAAACCTTTCCTTGTTGATCCCCTGACTGCTTGGCTGTTAATAATGTTTATGTACTACAGTCAGTGCCATCAATGGCACCCAAAGTAGCTAACAGATAATAAGGAATAAAAACCAATAGCACTTAAAAACAAAAGCACAGTCATATAAAACCTGCAAATTGGGCAGTCACATAATCAACCAGTCCCTAAGAACACAGCAATAAAGAAACAAAACAAAAATGCCTTCCCAAACACAAAAGGTCTAAACTTGTTGTCCTAAGGAGAGCCTTACACAAGCCTCACTGGGGATAGTATACCAGGGTGTGGGTGCAACTGCAGAAAATGTCCTGCCCTGTTGGACAGGCTGTAGAACAAACCTGTCTAATTATTGGAATGCTGAACAAGGACTCACCTTTGGATCTTAATAAGCAGTACAGCATGCTCTCAAATACACCAGTGCCTTGAATTGGGCCTGAAAGCTAATGAGTGCAGCTAGGCTAAAACTGAGTATTTCCAGGGCATGCTTTGAAAGAAGATGAGACTACCACCTCACATTTCCAGGGCATGCTATGAAAGAACATGAGACTACCACCTCACCGAAGATAAGAAGCTGTGCACCTAATGACTGCCTGAATGGGATGGGTATGAGTTTGTGCTTACAGATCTTCCCATTATGCAGTAGGCTGGGGTGAGTAGTGAAATTGGGAAAGTCTTGGGAACAGATGGGAGCAAAGAAGCACATAAGCAGCACGTAGGATGTGCAGAAAGGGGAGATTAGCGAAACCAAAGAATAAAGAGCTGTTTCCACATGTGTGTCCATCATTTGATGATTAAAAACACCCAATGATAACTGCGTGTCAGAAATGGGGTCTCACATATATAATGCCACAGAACTTTCACATCAACTTAGATAAAATGCTTTTCAACGAAGTCACTTCATACATTCTATTGCTGGTCATCAAACTTCCAGTATTTATTTTTCTGTAAAGAACTCATACATGACATTGTATGATATGAACCATGCCAGAGTCGAATGCATGGAGGCAAGGGATGGGAGAAGAAAGAGGAATGTTTTGATACTAAATAAATATATAGTAGATTATTCTGCTAAGTACCCTCCCCTGCCACCGTTTGTTAAAGCTTAACTTCCTGCTTTCTTCCTTTGTAATAGTTCAGACACTTTATGAATGACCCTAGTGTATACACATAGTAAACCTGATCAAATGGCCCTTTAAATAAATGTTTCCATCGTTAACAGAAGCCTGACAGACAGAAATTTACCAGATGAAGCTTTTCCTGGCATGGAGACACAAGTAGTGAGGGCAATAAATCACCTGTTTCATTTCTGGTTTTCGGTGTTGGGCTGTTAAAGGCACAAGTGCTGGGCTAACCGGCAACCATAACCATCAGCCAAAATTCTTATGGCACATTAGCCAAAGCACCTTCTCCCATCCTCTAGAAATAGATTAAAACCAAACTCTGCATGGTAACATACATAGAGCTTTAAGGAAAACTTTATCAGAAGTTGAATGAGCCACATGGTCACTGAAAGCTGCATTTCCCTCACACCACCAGGCATGCATGTCATGTCCTGATCTTGAGATGGCTTCTGTTAGGAGGATTGGCTTTATAAAGTTTTATTTTTTTTTTTTTAAAGCAATTTATTAGGTTTTACAATAGGAATAAATGTAATAAACAATATAGCATTCGTCTTAACATATTTTCACATTTTCTTAGGACTTCCTCACATCTCCCGCTCCCACCTTCATCATTATAACATTTTGTCAGCAATTTATCATCTTATTTAAATTCTTATATCTCTTCGATATTTCATAATCTTAAAGTTCTCATAAAGAGTTAAACTTTCACAATTTTTCTTGTTTCCTTAAAAATTTCTAAGTTAAGTGGTGCTCAGTTATTTAGTCCAGCATCTTATTCAGCATTCAATCAAATCACAATGTTTTTGTAGGTAGTTCTTAAATTTCTTCCAATCCTCCTCGATTCTCTCTTCTCCCAGGTCACGGATTCTGCCAGTCATTTCAGCCAGTTGCATATAGTCTATCAGTTGCATCTGCCATTCTTCCAGTGTGGGTAGATCTTGGGTTTTCCAATGTTTTGCAAGTAGTATCCTTGCTGCTGTTGTTGCGTACATAAAAAATGTCTGGTCCTTCTTTGCCACCCCTTGGCTGACAATACCCAAAAGGAAAGCCTCTGGTTTCTTAGTGAAAGTATATTTAAATACCTTTTTCAATTCATTGTAAATCATTTCCCAGAACGCCTTCACTTTAGGGCATGTCCACCAGAGGTGAAAGAACGTTCCTTCACACTCTTTGCATTTCCAGCACTTGTTATCAGACAGGTGGTAAATTTTTGCGAGTTTGACTGGGGTCATATACCATCTATAAATCATTTTCATTACATTTTCTTTCAAAGCATTACATGCAGTAAATTTCAATCCATTACTCCACAGCCTTTCCCAGTCCTCAAACATAATATTGTACCCAATGTCCTGTGCCCACCTTATCATAGCCGATTTAACCATT